GATCCGTTGTTCGAGGACTGCTTCAATCCACTCAAATGCGAAATCTCGAACGCCATAATTGTGGAGCTTCTGCAACAAACTTTTGTGATTCAGCCAATCAAATGCTTTTGAGAAGTCGAGATAAATCACGTCTACCGCATCCCCTTCGTTGGCTATACTGGTCCATTTATCTCAAATAAGAAGCAGGTTGGTGGAGGTGCCTAAACCCGTGTTGAGCTGTCGAAAGAATGTTGTATCTTTCTAGGTGTTCCATTAGTGAATCATGCTGTTCCATATCATATAGTGGAAAAGTGTCTTACAGAATGACAGCCATTGGCTCAATTTAAGGTCATTAATCGGGGACAGAGAGTATTGGATATGTGCGTGCATATGTCGGTGTAAGTATGGGTGTGTGTAAGAATGTTTAGTGAGCTAGTTGATGTGACCTTTTCCCTCACTTGGATCAAGCGACACGTCATATTCCGTCTTGGTTTTCACACCGGGTCAAGGCGATTGGAGCCTCTAAACCAGTCTTTTCGGGCACACGGGTTGGGGCCTACTAAGCGAATAGCGATCGCCCCGGCTATAGTTAGCATAGCTAGTGTCCAAACTCGGGCCGCCCTTTATCGATTGATTGGGATGCGATGAACGGTACCGATGGCTTTCTGCGGTTCGATCTTGTGCCCGATGTCGACGAGGTGCCCCACGATCGCGCTTGAGATACAGCCGGTCTTCGCCTGACTTAACCATCGGGTGTGATGCCCCTTAACGCGTTGAGACAAACGGCTTACTGTAGCATGTAGCATGCGCCACAGACGCATTTAAAAGAGTGAATTATCATGGATGAGGTCACTTTCGGTAGTTTGTCTTTCACTTGCATTTGCATCACCGGTGATGTAGAGCACACTGTTCTAGGTTTAACTGCGGGGAAGTGAAATTTACAGCCGCCCTCTGTGACTGTACTAGGCTTCCTGTGTGCGAGTCCACGTTGAATGGGATTCTTATAAATAGTTCCATCTTGGGTACACAGACGGAATTTTCCTTATCCGGAATGAGCCGAATATTCTTATCAATGAACCTTTTGGGATAACCATTGTCTTGCAGCGTTTGGCGGATGAAGCGTAGTTCTTCATCCAGTGTGTCTGACGAACAAATCTTCCGGGCTCTGAAGGCTAGACACCGGACCGGCATACGTTTATATTTCATAGGATCATACATATTACATAGTTCTGTTTCTCGCTTGCCAGACATTCGAGCTTTTATGCTGGTCTCCTCTGACTCGGAAGGACTGTCCCCACTGGTTTTTAAGGATGAATAGGTGGAATGGGGGGAAATCCTGGATTCAGTATGGGAGGGGCAGCAGCTGCCACTTGAATGATGTCAATCGGTAATCTTACCGATTTACAAGAAAGGTGACAGATCCCGGTGTGACAACCATGGAGGAATTGGTTTATTCAACATCGTCTCTAAACTTCTCGCTGGTGCAATATTGCGCCGACTGTTAATGAACGCATGAAAATTTCACGCATGAGAATCAGGTTAGTTTTAGACGTAGGTGAGGTTGTATAGATCACATGTTTATTCTGCACCAAATAGTGGAATACAGTCATCCTTCTGTAGACCCATCATTTCTGCTATTCTGACAGCGATTTTAGACTCAGTCGACTACTCTCTGCTCTGGCACTGCCTCTGTTTGAAAGGTTTACCGAGAAGTTTACTTCAGTTCTGCGATCTTTTTCTTCTAATAGACGAGACCGAGTTTAAGCTCACAGCAAAATTTCGCCCAAGTTCACCACAGAAAGTGTCGTTCTTCACGGTTGCCCTTTCTCACCGTTTCTTTACAATTTTCTAATGAATCTGATTCTAGAAACAGCCTTGTCCTTGCGCAAACGTAGTGATACCATTTTACCCGGAGGTGGTGGACTATCTGAGTTTGAGTATGCTATGTGATAATCACAGTGAGTTGCAAGCTTTCTGGACGGTTTGAGTGCTACTCTAACCATGTCTGGTATGCGTTTTTCACCTTTAAAGTGTAAAATATTATTATAGGACCTAATTGGTACATTATACATGAAGTTTCGATACACATAAAGAAGGCTGGATTGGTAGTTGCCAACTTGAGAGATCTGTGGCACCACCGTGACATCCGGTCATCTGTGAAGTACCCGAAGTATGCTGAAGCAGTTCGGCCCCATTCTACTATACGGTGCAAAGACAGTATCATTGGGGAAAAAAAATACAGATAGACTATTGGTGTGCAAACACGACTGTCCACGTCGCATTGTACGAATCTGATGGGGCAACCGGACAAGCAATGCTGAGATTAGGAGTATAATTCCGGGTAACCATAAACGCTCATGGGAGCAAGTGGTCGACGTCTATGGACTGCGCTGGTTGAGGTGTGCAACTAGATTACCCCGGCATGTGTTTGATCTGGAAGATAGGCGATGAATGGAAAGAAGTAAAGAGCTGTCAAATGAAGACTGCGTATGAAAACACTCCTAAGAGGACTCCGTAATATAAGTCATGTTAGGCTCCCTGGATGGCGACCTCGAGATAATGGTAAACGGTGGTTACGGACACTAAATGATATGGTGCAGTGTCACAAACAGTGGCTCTGGTCCATTTAGTCATCATCGTTGATACCGCGAGCTTTATTAATTCTCTGCCTTCTTGACTCTACCCTCAACTTTACAATAATCCTTCTGTTTTATAAAAACGGATAGCCTTCAGATGACACCCAAAACCACCGCATAAAAGTGTTTGGTTAACAGTTGTAAAAACTGAACTAACCTAAGTCTCATTCCATGCCTTCCTGATTGCTGATTTATTGCCACAGTCGTATTATTTACTGCAAAATTGGCTAGAAAAACCATGGCACATCAGTTTACGCTCAGATTAGACTTTCTGAGATTGCATGAAATTAAGCACCTTACCGGACGCGGATGTGAACTCGCTCAAACAACTATTTTATGAATCTTATGAGGTTATTGAAGTTATAAAAGATAAAAAAGCATTTACGCTGATCAATCTTCCTAATTCCTTGTGGATTTATAGACACAGGTTTCACGTATTGTTGTCCATGTGTTAGCCTCATCCGTCGAGAGTTCATTTATTCCTCGACGTTGAAATAGACGGTTCGAGTACTGCACAAGGTATAAATGTAATTCTATGAAACTTGTCAAAAAATATGTGCGGAATCAGATGTGTGTATATTTGTGTTTTGTGGTGAATTGTTCGATAAAATGGAACGAAAAGCTGAATAAAAGTGCATTGTGTCGTGTCCAAACGGGGTCCAGCATCTGAATAGTGGCTGGATAGAACTATCCTGTGTTCGCGTTTCAGGGTCTCTTCGCTTATCACATCTTTTCACCGTTTGATCATGCTATGGGGACAATTTTTATTGGCGATCTTTCGATGATGGGTGGTTTGTGCAGAGAAGCGGTAAGCAAGAAGCAAGCACTGGACAAATAGAGAAGAATATCAGCCGCGTAGACCAAAATCAACATGCTTCCGGGTTGATAAAATGTTGCTTGACGTAGATCCTGAAGCGAGAGAAAAGCGGGTGCAGTGCTGAATGTGTATCTCCAAACACACCACCATGGAAATGATAAAACCAATCATGTTAGGAAAATCGAACTACGCGTTCCGCGAAATAACATTTTGGGCATCAACAACAAATCGCATCTCTGGACATCTTGACCAGTTGACACCTTGCCTAGCGATGTACATACTTCTCTTCTAAGTTCCTCATAACTTGCTTTACTCTCGTTGTAAAAATATAGACCCATGGTACCGGTTCTAAACATCGTGGATCTGTTGCTTTTCCGACACCATCTGAACTTAGATATCCAAACCTGTGAGGCAGATTAAGTCCCTGCTGGTTTTTGTTTTTCTATCTGATCCACTTTCCCCCACTCCTGAACAGCTGGAGCATGTCCATTAGCGCGGTGCGATAAAATAGGCTGTAGACCCAGAGTGTGGATTTGAAACAGTCCGTGTGCAATATTCAGACACGATTGGCATCATTTTTATCGAATTGATAGCCTCGATATACGTGTTCGCGAAAGCAGATTAGCTACATTGGCCAATTGTGAGTAAATCAAAGTACGAGGCGGCCCGTGAATAAACAAAAGAAGCGGTCTCAGCTAGACTTTTCGGCATGAAAACTCAACAAACCATAGGCGGTCACAGAATTCCCAAAAAATAACATATACCCCCCGAGCAAAGTGACTTTTAAACTTACCATTGGCTTAGACATATATCTATATCCATGTGAGTAATGGACGATTTGGTTCAATTTCCAAGTAGTATGAATTAAGTAGTCAGGTTGTGATTGTTTGCAACTGAATCATAACCCTGAAAGCTAGTGCTGAGATGAGCGAAGTCCGTGGCCTGCAACAAGCTAGCAAAGATGGGTTGTGCTATATCGTGTAAATGGAAAATGAAAAACGGTCTGATCAGCTTCCTGGTGGCGCATGCTTGCCTTATGCCCGTGGATTCGATCCCCGGTTGGGCCGATGGATTCTCGTTGGTGGTGAGTCCCAACCAGGTCAAAATAACTGTCCAGTTCTTTCTGGTTTTTCAGATAACGCTTCATTTGCCATATAAACGACGAATTTCCACTTTGAAATATATGTATTTATTTGAAAAACTGGATTTACCTTATCCATTGCATTATGGTTGCAAGATGGTTATTTGAATGAGGAAGCAGAATCAACTGCCTGATTTTCATGCCGCCATGTTTTACGGTTGATGCTCCGTGTTCTTTGTGACCACTTGTTATTATCGGATGTGGGATGTGGCAATGCAGATCACGCGACGCACACCCATTACTCAGGCGGTCGGAAGGAATCCGATGCATCCATTCCAATCCACGTTATGACAACCAACCCGCATAATTGAGCCTTAACAACTTAAACGCAATGGAAACCGTTTGATAGTATTATGATATGATTACATCACACTGAAAAGTTACTAGTGCAATCAATTCTTTTGTCGTGGCGTTGATATTTTTCTTCAACCCTTCGAAATCATTGATCATCTGCAAGTATTTGTTCAACAGGATTCAACATATAAGTGTTATGGGTATATGCCTGTTTGTTTTAAGTCCCCGATTGCAGAGACTAATCGAGGTGGTGTCAGCTGTATTGTTACGATCATGACACAACCTCGCACATTTGGTTTGAATGACCACGATGGAAAATCACTGAAAATCGTTGTTTGCACCACTTAACCTTTCGTCAATTTCTAGTCGTTTTCCACTGCATATTCAACCGGTAACTACAGTTGAAATGCAGTTAATTCAATGGTTGCAGACATATTCTCTACGTTTTTCTATGAAGAAACGGCCCTCGTGCGAACTGGCTCCCTTTCGTTTCAGCTATTCATTTGGAAAACTCATTTTATTGTGAATGTTACTCGAGTATTTCATGTTTCTTATCCTATACGTGAAAGATCTACCGCAAAAATTGAGAGTTAAGACCAAAACCAATTTGCCGTGTCGAGTGCACTGTGTGTGGTACACACACACACAATTGGTGTTTCGTTCTCCCCAGCGCTGACACAGTAGCATACAGATTACCAGTAGAATTAGGCAGTCATGTGCGGAATGCCAAAACTGGTATTTCCAGTTCGCTGCACACAAAAAATGCATTGTTACAGTGCGGAATCAACTCACGGAGTGAACGTTTCATATAAGGTATGTGGTAAAGAAAAAGCCGATGTCGGGGAGGTCTTTTCGGAAAAGCATGGAGGATGGGGGTGACAGAACATCTGCTATAGTACGGACCAACACGAAAGAGAAGCAAATAGGTGGCGATTAGTGCCCTCTTCTTGGAAACCAATCATAACTATCCCGTCAAGTGGGTTTATGCGAGTAAAACCAATAGCATCACTTCGGGCCAACTTACTGTAGTCCAAGCAGATCGGGTGTTGATGTAATTGCTGTCATATCTGTAGTTCTCCGCATCCATTGCTCCGTAGTGAAGTAAGATACTGACGAAATAGGCAGTAGCTAAAACATGAATCAGAAAAAAGAGGGAAAAATTAGTTCAGTGGCGGTCCACATACCTGTCCAATCTGGTACAGGATGTAGTGAAAACAAGGGGAACGATCGCCAGTTGGAAACAAACCAAGTGTGCACTCGGGCAAATGCTTCTTGGTAATGAAGACCACGAAATAAAGCAGGCGTTGATTATAAGTTAGGGCGTCTGTATTCAGCCTGCGCTTAGCGATCCATCTTCCAATCCACATTGGCTCAAGTCTAGTCAAGTCAAGAGCATACTTTATTCATCCAATTTGGCGGAATGTTGTCGCTTTTGCTTTGGTATACGCGCTATTAAAAATGAGCTTGAAGATGTGACAAATAGTTACTGAGAAGACAATGAATAGGAAACTGAGAACACGTAAAACAATTAAAGAAAAATTCAACATGAAAAGTTGCATTAGACTGTGTATAATTTCGTTTGATATTCGCTCCCTAGAAAGCAACAAACGTATAAGGTAAGATACAAGGAAGTTGTGAAAAGCAGTGGTTTGAGTGAATAAGAGTTTAAATTTATTACGGGTGACAGAAGTTGAAATGAAGCTAGATAGGGTTCGATGTTTGACCAGAGACAGAAAGTACATGTTAAGACCGAATTCTAACCGCGACGCTATGCACAGTAATTTAGGGCCCATAATCCAAAACAGAAAATCAGAAATTTAAACCAAATCCTCCATTACTCACATGAAAATCAGAACACACAAAAGAGCGTGCTAATCGGAATCCGGTTAACGATGATCAGGAGAATACATCAATCGATTAAACGATGATCAAAAATTAGGTCAAGCTGGGGCATGTACAAAACGGATTGAATTGTGTGTAAGGGATGTGGTGCATCGGACAAGATGGAGTAGCACAGACGGTCACATGCATTCAGATGTTGGTTGACAATGGAATGAACCAGCTCGTCATAAGATACAGTTCCATATCTAGAGATGCTTTTCAGAGAGCGTCTAATTAATATGAAATCCTTAGACAGTAAATGGGGAAAGATTACGGGAGATCAGTAGATGCATAAAACGTATGAGAAAATAAATTTGGAGATGATGTATAATGGCACCCGCAGATGCCGAAGGCGTGAAATATAAGTGGTAAACTTTCTGACTTTAAGACATGGTTTTTCTACGTGATAGGACCATTTGAGGTCAGCAGACACGAAAATCCAAGATATTTGAAGTGTTGTAACCTTTCAATTTTTAATTTATTGATTAAGATATTGGAAACAGATGATCTGATGCGTTGTCCTTGAGATCGTCAAGCCTTCCTCAGTTTCCCTTTTATGACTATTTTTTCAACTGGCCGTAGTTCAGAACTTTTTCCACCCCGTTGGTTGACGGTATGCGCCTTATTTGATCGTGTGTAAATCATCACAACGGAATAAGAAACTAAATTTGCACATAACACAGAAAGCCTTGTACAACCGGCACGAGCATTTCAAAATATACTGCACATCAAACGTAACAAGATAATATATCTGCAATTGCACAAGCTGACAACAGCTTGTCTACTACGAACGATCACCATAAGTTTGTATGAACCATTTTTCAAGAAGATTTGAAACAAATCTTGGAGCTAGATATTTCAACGCTAATTGGATTGATCTTTCCCGTCTCCGTTCACCATTCTCAATAGATATAATCAGATACCCAGGGAGCGCCGGAATTGAGTTTGGATCTCACCCTTCGTGGTGATCATTTGGATGTGGCTGAGAGTTTTACCTAAAGAGGGAGCTTGATAGTCAATGTAGGTGGGGCTTTGGAAGCGCTTAAATCACAACTGTAACACCGTCGTAATACCTGATGTTTCCCTATATATATATGCATAACCGAAGTTCTTAGGGGTCTGTCTACGATGCGAGACCTGGACATCCTCGTACCAAAGATACTAACGGACTATTTGTAATCAACCATCGATGTGTTCAAAGTATTGCTCGTTTCTGGTGAGGAATGATGTCGTCCGTGGTCATGCCTTGGGTGCTGTTAATCGTCATCCGAAAGAGGAACTCACCACCTCCGATAGATCAATCACATTTTGCTTAAGCCTATCTATAGTCTACCGTTCTGAGCACGTTTTTGCACGAGCTGCAGAAGTCTGGAACAAAGTTAAGGCGATCAGTCGTGACGTGGCGTAAAGGTATGAAGGATTTAGGTTTAGCATTGGCATCGATTGTCGGTAGATCGACTTCTTGATTAGGGACCGAAGGCTAGATGCGTTGAGAGATAGCCGGTTGGATGAGAACTCGGTGGCAAGAATGTTGTGAGGTTTATTTGTTGTAACTCCATACCCTTTAGGAGATAAACAAAACATTAAAAGTTGCAGAGTGAAACTAACAAAAATTGATCTGCCTGTTCTGGTTCCCTCTAACCTGCTTCTCCTCATTTCTCTTATCCGTAAACAATACAAACATTTGCTTTATTTCATTTTGTGTTTCGGTCGCGTAATCATTCCGAGTGTTGACAACAAACCTCTTCTCATTTTGATATGGTTTAATTGTATATTTCTTCTTCCAACTCTATTGCATTTACAATGTTGTCATTGGTAACCACTTTATTGAAGACTACGGCTTGGTAAAAATAAATTATAAATCAAACTGAAGCAGGATTTCATCATTATTTAGAGACCTATATGGTTTCACTAGCCCAGCAATACACTCCATATAGCAGGTTTTATGAAGTTCGAAATTTAATTGCTCTTGATAATTTGAGCGAGCACCTTGGTAACGAAAACGAAACCACCATCATCCGCGTTTGGTCATTCGATGAGCTACACACCTGTACCATCCCGACTGCCCGACTGCTTTTTCATAGAGAACATTATATTTGAACTCGTCAGGCCCGACCAAAAGTGATCAGCAGTCCACCACTGGTCTTCTCTCCCCTAATCGTTGTACTTACATGCAGTTCCGACAAGATGTCAAGCTTCGAACTTACCGAAAAACCACATCAATGCACCGGCAACAATAACAGTGTACTGCCCCGATCGATGACCCCATTTATATGGACGTCGTGAAACATCTGCTAGAATTGCTCCAGCGATGATCATTGTGAGCAGAGTAGCGCAACTGACAGTCAGTTGTAGCAGTCCAGTGGTCATGCGCATAACTAAAGTTACATAAGGGAAGGAGAGGAGCAGGAGGTGACGGGATGCACAACATGTGCAATGAGGTTGTGTATGTTTGCGAGGAAAACGTCAATTTGAATGAAACGGTGTCTCGAGTTTGATAACGAATGCAGCTGAATAAAGTTTGGAATTGTGAACATTAACGGTAGAACTCAAAGAAAACGGGAATACTCGGAATCACAATGGCATCTAAAGAACTACGTGGGTCTAGGCAACTCAACGTATCGATCCGTCAATAAGTGTGGTCAAATTAATATTGAAACTGAAATGGCAAGGAAAAAAACATCTGTAAAAACGCATCAATCGGCCGTCAGATAATTCGGCTTCATAATTGACTGTTTTTTTTCGGGGTTCACTTATCGCGTCCTAAAGATTAATAATTTGTGTTGCTCCAGCGAGCAGTATCATAACCAATTCCACTGCAATAAATGCGAAGGTGATTTTAAGTCAAATTCAATAATTTATTTGAAATGATCCGATTCTTTCGGATAGCAAAGTGTTGGGATCAGAGTTACCTCAAACTAGACGACATGAATAAGAAAGGATGAATTATTTGAACAAAATGATGTTTATAGTGTATTGGAAAGTCAATGCGCTATGTGTTGCGTTTATTGTGAACGTTATAATGCTAATAACACAGTGATGTCGGTAGAGAATTATATTCGCCGACGTTTCGGTTACTTTGGGTCTCCTTTCTCAAGGCTGGTTTTACAATCAAATGACTCAGAGGAAAGGATCACAAGTCAACGGACATTTCATCGTGTGTGTGTGTGTGGTGGGCTGAATGATTTGCTGTCTGTCAAACTAGCTCTCATTATTAGATGTGGTCAAGTGGCACCGTGATCTTTACCGTGATTACGTGTTAGGGATATTAGGGTAGTCCAAACGCTCGGGATTTTACTTCCGTCGTTTCTGTTGACACATACAGAGTGGATGTTAATGGCCAAAGCTTCGGCATACAAGCGTTCAGTGCATATTCGAAATCCGAATTGGAGTATTTTTTGTTGACGTTTTTTTACTTGTGATCCTTTCCTCTGAGTCATTTGATTGTAAACCTGCCTTGAGAAAGGTTAACTACGGTAACCAAAACGTCGGCGAATAGAATTCGCTACGGACATCGCTGTGTTATTAATATGATAACATTCCCAAGAATTATTTGACTTTCGAAGAAAATAGAGCTTACTTAATATGGGTTCAATTCCTTTGTTGTATTGCGACCTGTCACCCCAGAGAAAGGTGTCGGCACAGTAGCCGACATAATCTGAAATAAAGACACAAGAAAATAGAAAGAAAGTGTATAATGCATAAACGGGGGAAGTTGGTGGTTGGTTGGTGAGCTAAAGCACATCTTTGCTTATATTTGATCTTAAACTTCGAGATTGGAAGTCGTTCGAAACCATTCCGGTTCGGAGGCAGATCGCTTCGTGCTAGCATGCGTCAGTACCAATATTATCCGATTTCATTCGCCTGGGGTTCGGATCAGGAGGGTTTAGGTTGAGTACTTGTATGTGATACGTGTGAATCTGTTTGTATTTGCAGTTCGTTTCTCCTCCAGTTCCTTGCACTGATTTGGACTAAAACGTTTGATGGACGTGTTGACTCTGGTGGCGTGCGGCGTTGTTCTATACGTTAATGTGACCAAAACGTCAATTTATCCTACTTACTGAAGCAAGCAATACAATAAATTCATATGAAGTGAACATTAATAATCATTAAGTTTGGCCTATCCTCGTGGATAAGACTTTGCTTGAGGTGCTATTTCTGGGGCCAAAATTCTGTTCTCCAACCAGTAAGACTAGGTAATTCGATTTGGAAGTTGAATTTGAGAGTTTATTCGCTCAGCTATTTGGACTGGCGCCATCCTCTTCGCAGGAGTTAGAGAAACTTAAATCCACACTTGTGAACTCATGTTACCAATATCGCGATAGTAAACCATCAACAAAAGGACTGCTAACTTTGGAACACCTGAAGTGTCCCAGAGAGTTGCAAGCCAATAGAGAATTGCTGTTATCAAGACCAGACAAAGGTGCAGGTATTATAATAATGAAAAGGTCTGATTACATAGATAAGATGAGGACGATATTGAATGACCCAACTAAGTTTAGAAAGACTCCAACTGAAAGGTATAAAACAATTCAGATAGAAAAATTGATTTCCACGCAATTACGATGTCTGAAGCAAAAAGGGGCAATCGATGCACAAACGTTCGAGAGAATACGACCAACGGGTACAACAATTCCTAGATTGTGTGGACTTCCGAAAGTACACAAAGAGGGTGTCCCTATGAGACCAATTCTAGATATTTGCAACTCCCAGTATCATACCGTTGCGAAATGGTTAGCAAGCGCACTGGAACCAGTAAGACTCGCAAGCACATCCTACGAGACACTTTATACCTGGTGGAAACGGTGAAGGACCTCAAACTCGAAGGCAAACAGATGATGTAATTTGACGTTACTTCTTTATTCACAAATGTGCCAATTATTGAAACTATCAATCACATATGTGGATTTATTCGGAGGAACAACATCGATGTAGACATTCCATTAGATCAACTAAAACAATTGTTATTCGTATGCACGCACAACGTCCAGTTTCAATTCAATGGTGAACTATATCGCCAGAAGGACGGGGTTGCAATGGGGTCACCTTTGGGACCATTATTTGCTGACGTGTTTATGGCCAAACTAGAGAATGATCCCCTGAAGCTCTATATCATACAGTACACCCTATATAGGCGGTATATTGATGATGTGTTGTGTATATTAGATGCCAATGTGGACATTAATCGATTGCCTGGGGAATTCAATAATGTACATCCCAACATAAAGTTTACTCTGGAAAAAGAAGGGGATAATAGTATAGCCTTTCTAGACATACCTATAGGACGCTGCAGCAATAGCTCCGTCCAGTTATGCGCCCAGAAGAAATTTGTGCAAGCACTTAATCTCTCCTGGCCAACTTCGGCCACTCCAACACGTGTGCAATCACTTGAACTTCTAACAATGTGATCCATTTCACACAAACACACGCACGCATGATTGGAGCCGCAGCTGAATCAGTAGGACTTGAATCTCTCATTCCGTGTTTCGTTCTTATTGTTAGCCATATTTATTGTTATGTAATGGCGTGATTACGAATAACTGACAACGAGCTTGTTCACCACACTGTTGTTTTCAATGTGTTCTGTGGGATTAATGAAACGACTGTTGAAACCGTTCACCACTTTGAGTCAATTTTACAGTAATACTACTCATGAGTAGTACGTTCGATATAATGGCAAACGCTCTGCGCATTGTTTGCTAGGAATTATGAGGGGAGATAATCAATCACAATTATCGTGGAATAAATTTATTGATATGTTCTAAATTTTCTCTTGAGTACTGCAGTTTTTTTGAAAACCAATGATCACTATATAGTAACAGGAAGAAGATCCTTCTTGATGAACTCTTTATTAGGTCTGGGAACAAAAATCATGCTTCGTATTTTAATAACCGGCAGGATATCACCAAGTTTCACTAATCTTTGTCAGGCTACTAGACATCAGAATCAAACAGGCTCGAGCAATTCATGTCAAGTATGCTTAGACTCTCCACATCACGTTTTACTAGACACTGCGTACCTGAATCCAACAATCATTATTTTTATTCCCAATTCCTCCTATCCCTTACGTTTTTCCTTTAGTTCACCGTAACTCTGTTCCTAATACAAGAGTAATCAAACTTGTAGGACATGACTGTCATTTTGGAAATACATTTTGGTTTCCAATATCATGTGTGTATATCGATAGCTATGAATGAGGTGTATTTAGTCCGAACTTCATCTTCCATGGAAATGTTATTAGTTTCCTCTGACTCGCGTTTGATCCATACTCGGAAATCGTGATGCATTTGATTGCTTTGCAAATCCTGTTGTACAAACACAGATAGGAGCTGCAATCCGTTGCTAACCGAACGCTTCAATGGTCTATTAGCTGAGTGTGCACCTCCTGATAAATGATCCCTTTACTTTTATTGGTACGGTTGTTGCTGTCTGCATTACATCAAGTCAACCGTTGTATGCAACGATGCATGCACGATATAGTAATGATCCGTATCACGCTCCTAAAACCCTGATCGGACAAATCAACGGAACTAAGAACTTCCCGCATCTGGGTTTAATTCCCCACTCCTAATAAATCCTAGTCAGACGGATATAATACTTAAACAGCGTTTCAACGGATTTCAAACAATGAGTTTTACCATAATAATTTATGTTTCAAATTCGAAATATGCCCATATTTGCATTAGAAAATAATCTCAGGCAAAAAATTCTTTGCAATAACTCAGAATCATGTCGCTACAGTTTACATGAGGGAAAAAATCCTCAGGGTTGTTATTGAAAACAATTATTTGCCTGAAATTGTTCTAATGAGAGTATGGGCATATTTCGAAATTCGAAACGTTTCACAGAGCCCAACGTGGTGAAAGGACTTGCGTTTTCCACGCGACTTGAGGAGACCAACACTTGTGTTGAATTCATTTGAAACTGTATTCAAACGAACTGTTATCCTCACCATTATTGGAAAGCTTTACGTCAATACCGAATTAATCTAAATGGTAAAACATTGCGACGTCGTGCCCTTAATGCATGTGACACTTCAAACTAAAGTGACAGTATGAACGGAATATATCACAGCGCCAGCATTTTTTGGATTGTTTACATGAGGACTTAAAACTGGAATACCTCAATTATGTGTGCACTATAGTTTAATCACGAGAAGAGATTGTCTTGCTTAAGGCAAACGTTGGACAGACAGATACCGCAATGCAGTTTCGCGAATCAACCTGAGAGGTAGGTGCATAACCTATCCGGTATCAGTCTGAATCACACGCATATCGAGGTTATATCGTTAGGCCCAAAGTTTTGTTTTGCAAAAAGAAATAAGAATGAGTTCGTGGATTTGGAGGTACAAGTCAAAAACCTATTTAGTCAGACACGGGATTTAGTGCCTAGTTCGATGAAATAAATAGAAGCTTTCAAATCAACTCTCGTTACCGCTTGCTAAACCGCAGGGCTGAATCCCACACGGCTGTCCTGGATACCAAAAGCACATCGAGGTTCTATGTGAACTGACCCATAGTAAAGATCTCTTTTTCAGCAGCCAGATAAAGGAACCGGGATTGTGGTCATGGACAAGAAGGAGTATATTGACAAACTGCTAGCGATGGTATCAGAGGAGGACAAGTTCACAACCACACCAACAGAAAAAGACAAAACACACCAGTCTGAACCACAAATCACGGGGATACTGAAACGACTCAATCAAGAGGGTTACATAANCATAAGCAGTGAACTATATGAACGTATAAGACCTACCGATTCATGCATACCGAGGCTATATGGTTAGCCAAAAATCCATAAAGCCCAGCTTCCCTTTCGTCCCAAACTATCGATAACTAATTCTCCATACCATACTGCCGCTCAGTGGTTGGCTGAAATCTTTGAACCCGAAAGGAAACGGTTATTGATATCTAGTGTTAAGGATACCTTTCAATTTATTGAAGCAATACGAGACATAGACCTGTCAGATAAGGCGATGCTGTCCATGGATATCACGTCACTTTTCACAAATGTGCGACTAGTGGAAACTATCCAGTTCATCGTCAAACATCTTACTGATAATGAAATTAATTTGGGGATACCCACAGAAGCGGTACGAGAACTTTTATTTCGGTGTTTAATTTCTTTTCAACGTAGACGGTATACGGACAAAAGGTAGGAGTAGCAATAGGATTACCAGTAGAACCCGTTTTGGCGGATATTTTCATCGTGATGCTGGGGAACAACCAGTTGAAAGACACCGTTACTAGTCTTTATAAATATTGTCGGTAGGTTTTTGTATATTTTGTATTTTTGTATGATTGATTAAAACTGCGAACTCGATCAACCGCTAGAAAAATTCAACTCTGCATACCAGGCCATAACATTTACAAAGGAGGTAAAAGCAGATGATCGAATACCGTTTTTAGAAGAAGTGATGGATCTATACAACGCCGTGTGTACCGTAAGAAAACGTGGAGTGGCCAATACACGAATTTTTACAGTTATGTCCTGATGAGGCTGAAGAGGAACCTGATAAAATGTTTGGTATCTGGAGCGCGGAGAATCTGCTCACGAGAAGTGTTGGAAGCCGAACTCAAATTTATCTCTGACGTGCTCTGAAGCAATGGCTACCCCGACCGCTTCATTCAACAAAATATGATAGAACAGTCACCAAAAGTATACACTGATAGGGTGGAAAAGAAATACCTGTTCATTAGTCTTCCTTTTACGGGTTAAGTTGCCGCCGAAACCCTCATAAAATGACTGAATAGAGCGGTAAAAGCCATATTCAACGCCGCACATCTACGCTGCTCTTTCAAAAGCTTGCCACGGGACAAAGATAAACTACCGGTGTTGACCGTTCCAATGATTGTTTACTCGTTCAGATGCATTTGGGACGTACTCTACGTTGGTCGCACGGCAGGCAGTTATCTATCAGCATGAAAGAACATCATCCCCGCTGGTTGAGTCGAGGTAGCTCCGGATCTATCACAAGTGCGATTCTCGCTCACTTGGTAGACACTGTGCATCGTCTTAACCCAAGTGAAGCATTCCGCACTATTTTTCAGGTACCCCCCAACCGGTCCAAATATGTTAAACTGCATACATTGGCCATAGCCGAGACCATCTGTATTAAGCATTTGACCCCCGAACCATGTGCCCAGAAACGTCTTTTTCAAGCTCTTCAACTCCCCTGGGTTCGCGAATACATTCCTACCCCATGCCCCCTGCCCGCATACACAAACATTTTTACACAACAGCACCGATCCCTCGGAACTGGGTCTCACAACCCTCGTGACAAAACTGCAAACACCGGAAGCACAGATCTGAGAATGCGGTGTGCAAGATACACACAAAGACAGACAAATACACGAAGTGAACGATTCCTCACATTTTATTGTTCTCCTCCCAAACCCCATGACTTCCCTCCTCATATAAACTGTAACGGCATGATTCTGAGTTATTGCAAACAATTGTTCGCCTTAAATTGTGTTCTAATAATTCATGTGGATGTGGCTGAGTTTTACCTGTAGCTGCAGGACATATTTCTAAGGAAGTTCAATAATCTCTCACAGAATAACACACTTATCTTACTTTCAGTACCAATAGATGCGCAGTTTCAAGTCGTCCTTATATCAACTGCACGAGAGTGACACGTATCTTTTTTACGCCTCACCTTGAAATTAATCGTCCCGGTCGATTGCTTGTGACGAGGCCGATTCAGCTCAAACTGTTGTACTGATTTTCTATCTCAGAAAAGAACCGAGTGGACATCGGCCACGTGTTTCAAAACTCTATCGTGCTTTCAATCAGCTGGAACAAGCTACTATCGAAATGGGTAGTAAAAGAAACCCATCGAATTGCAAATTGTATCCTGGTTGGATTAGAATGAATTCGGCCGTTTATTGATTGCATCCGACAGCTTTTGTTGTACCGGTAGTCCTAGGAAGGAAACGGAAGAAATCCCGCGCAGTGCGTAATTAAATCGATTAATTAATTAAATCCATCTAAGGATAACATTCTAGTTTGACCATGCATCTCAAGGATAAGATTACTGACTTACAAACAGGCTGTTCGCAGTTGGAATCCAAAATGTTTGGATCTAAATCAGCAGGCTTCACTGATTTATCCTGATGAACATGAAGCAGTCATCTATTACATTTTGTCGGCCATCGCAGGGAAATTTTCTATACCTTTAGCAGGTGTGTCATCTTGGGCGAAGGTGTCAGTTGCCTCGTGTTTGCTTCATCATGGGTAGGTCGACAGTTGTTGCAAACAACATGTGGCGTGTAATGAATCCACTAACAAGCTGAACTATATACAGTTGTGATTCTGATATCACTAAAAATTCGGAATAAATCGAAGGTTGTTCTGATAACCGCATGGATAAAATTGCTGATTTTATCTCTAAACAGGAAACACGGTGATGGGTTTCTGCTGATTTCATGCAAAAAGAGTCGTTCTGCGGTAACCCACAGTACATGTAAATCATAGTGATTTTATGAAATGAATTGGTCAAACTGACCAAAGACTTGTCGATAACTCGTGTAGAATTCTTTCGGTTGTCAAATAATAGGCAATTATTTTTCTTTATTCGCTAGAAAACAGCTAGAGCAACGCAGCAGAGAATAATTCAAGCAAAATAATCGAATTTAGAGTTTTAACTTACTGCCAGAAACCGTATTGGAACATTCACGCCACAGACCGCGCGATCGAGTCACATAAGTGTAGGACGGCTGAATGAGTTGATAGCTGACCACAAATTCACTCCACTCATTTCTACACATGGCAATCACACAGAGAAAGAGGAAGAATAGGGCAAAGGCTAGTCCTGCTGAGGAGCAGGTGAGCCATACGGCTCGTCCAAGACGCATAGTGAAGCTAGAGGGATCTGAAAATGAGTCTTTTGAAATGATAATTTTGCCGCTCATGGTGATTGTCTACTGGTTGGATCGATGAATGAATAGGTCAGGTGAAATAGTTTGTGTGTTGGTGGAACCGCACAAAGAGCTTGATGACCTGAATCTGGAGGGTGGAGAGTTGTTACAGCGTCTCATCCACGAGAAAGAGAGAGAAAGAAAGAGAGAAAATCTCATGTTTCACAAATTCCCGCAGATGCTGGTAGCTGTTTTGTGAGGACGAGATCAAGAAGACAAACGAAAACTGCAACAGGGCATCAATTCGCGCAAACAAAACGACGCTGATTCGTGGATAAAGGTATTCGGGGTAAGAAAAACAGTGCGAGAGTTTGTACACGGATTACAGGTGAGAGAAGAGTAAGCTGCGCTGATTCGCGAATTCACTGCGTTTTCATATTTTTGGGTCAAAGCAGGGAAGTTATCACCAGTTGCGTGACGAGAAAACGTGTTTTCATCTGGTCAGTTGTGGGTGATTTACTGATTACCTATCACAAATTGTAGTCTCTATTGTGATTGAATGCTATTCACTCGTCCAAAATGAGCTGCTCATATTTGGTACCAAAACTTTGATCTTTTCATAATCGGCCAAACTGAAATTCACACTTGAATTAGTGTAAATCTGTGGAAGTATTCAAAGCAGTTTTACATCGTTTTCTTTTCCAACTTCAGCTGAGTAATGCCATCTACCTTATGATCAGGAATTCTCACAAACCGAAATGGAACCTATCTGTTCCTTGAGTATACTAACAACTTTCAAAACAGGTTCCCTGCCCTAAAAATGTCTTCCTGAAGAAAGACAGGAGTGTGGAAGAGTGTGGACAGCGGTAGACTTTAACAGCTCGAGCCAGAGTAGCCCCCCTAGAGTTATCATTGCTCAAGTCAAGCTCCTCATTATGTATTCCTTGATGTAAGATACTGTTAGCATTATAAAACTTCCTCGCCCCCCTCACACACACCGTCCCCCGATCTAAACTGTGATAACGTATATTTTGATTACATTCCAGGTGCTAAAACACCCTCCGGGGAATTACTCACCACCGATGATTTGCGGTGCTCCGGTTATACAAATCACCGTTCTCTACTAGGTGTGTGTGTGCAATATGTAGCCTCTCGTATATGTCTACGGCGACTTTTGTGTATTTGTCTGTGTTTCCACTGTACGAATCTGAGTGCGTTTCATCAGGTATGCGTACCCAGACCAGTGTTAAGTCTTCCGAATTCCATACGCCTCGTTTCGGAATCCGTGTAATCACGAGGATTAACTGTATTTCGTTGTTCCATGCCATGCCCTTTGGGGGTAAGCGTACTTCACATACATATGCACTTTCCCACCCCAATGAACTCTAAACTCCCATAACCCTAGTGAATTCCTAATGAATTCTCCCAAGGATAAGTATGGCTGGTTATCACTGTTGATCCCGTACAACTCTATATTCAGTGCTATTGTAGACAGCCATCCCCAGAGTTCAAGTAACTGCTCGAACTGCTGTGTGGGATACAAAAATGCCGTTTTTAGTGCATCATCACCATAGCGAATTGCGCGTGACAAAGCAAGCGATCTGATCCTCGTTATATTGTAGGATGCCCGACACGAATAGTGTTAATTGGACAATATTACAGGAATTTTTTCTTCTCCCAAGATTCAGTCGATGTATACGGAAGCAATGGAGAAAGTGAACTCATTCAAACCGTAAAATGTTCACAAGTGTCTCATCATTCTGTTTGTGTAATTGATTTAGTTGTCATGCAGTTACAGTCCCGTTCGAGTATGATTCAATCACCCGAAGATAAAATTAGCATTTTATTTTACAACAGTTTTTAGCTGCTATTTTATTCAGACATTCACACCGGCAAAGTGAGTTCTATTTAAGAGATCGGAAGGTGAAAAAGATAAACGATTCGGGATATGGAACTCGTATATTGATCAGTTGTACAGACCACAGTCTGAACTTGAGCCGTATTCCGAAATCCGGTCGAAATGTGGATCGGTAGAGTTGGGTTCCGCAGTCCAAACAGTGGTGAAAAGCAAATATAATGCATGCCGAAGTGATCTGTGAACATCGTTAACCTCCGGAACAGTTGTACTCACACGCGTTACACGACTGCATGATCAGCCCTATCCGTGCATCGGCGAGCCGGCAGTGCGGAATAAATTGGAGCATGCATACTTTCTGTCATGACGGTCCTGATAAACAGACAGTGTGACAGTGGAAATGAACAAAAATATATCTCTAATGGCGTCACTGTATCTCCAAAAATGAATACCCATAGAAGAATGTACCTGTAAAAAGACGCCTGAAGGCGACTGTGAATCCATCTTATGAGAGACTCTATAGTTCATTCATGTGTTGTGTTCCGTCGGTTTAGATAAAAAGTCCAAATGAAAGACAATGGATTTGCAAACAAGACTTACAGTATCACACAATATTGCACGAAGCAGCCAGATAACACTATCAGTATGAGAATGAAAATCCGGAAGCAGGCTGATTTATATTCTACTTTGGATTTTCACTGAACATCATTTCACCCCTCGTCATTTACAACGAGAGAATCGCAAGCATTCGGATTATTTTTAGCTTTGCTCTTTCGGCGCAATTCAGTCATTAACAGTTGTAGCGAAACCCTGTCGCAATCGAGCAAGGTGTTAATTTTGTATGCATTCATATATCCGATTGAGTAGCAACTTGACAGGTATGACCGGAAGCGGACCCTAGAGGTGAATTGCGGCTTCACGCCGGTGGAAAGAAGTATCAGTGTCATTCGTAACTCACAAATCGTAAATTTTCCCTTTTGATCTTGTTTTCCACCATACCGGTGAAATTAATTGGTTCAATTGTGATTAGTCAGCTGCTGAATGTTCAACCTTACGAGTGCATAAAATGTGTACTTGACTGATTGACTGACTGACTGTTGACAAAGTATTGAAAATCGGTTCTCGTAGCAAGGGGTGAGCTGAATTCTATTTCGCCTGTTCGCCCAGCTTGGCAATTTGTTTGCAAATGTTTTATCACCAGCCGAGGTGACATCATCAGTGCTTGTGAAGTGGCAGTGTTGTGCTTGACCCGTTTGTTTATATGTGTTCTTCTCCACCGACTATTTTCGTCCCCTGTTCTCACTGTGTCGGTTCGCCTTTGGACTGCTGCGAGGGGGTGAGAGTGGGAGAGGAGGGGGTTGTCCTTCCGCCCTGATTGCGGCTTCGGTCCGTTCTAAAGTCACGGCATGACCCTTTTGTTTAGTCATTTGATCCTTGATTTACATTGGCATGTGCACATGATCCAGCTCGACGTGCCTGTTGATTGAGTTACTTGAAGAGTGCCAAGTCCGAAGAAATTCTCCAGCGTGCTTTGACTGTTCGATAATTTTCACTGATGCTAGGTTAAAGTGATGTCCTTCCTGATCTTCCTGGATGGAACTCAACGGTTCATGTCTCCTGACTGCCGATTGGTGTTCACGGATCCTTGTTGACAGTTTTCTCCCAGTTTGTCCGATATAGTGTTTTGAACAGTTCTTGCAGTTTATTTTATAGATAACACTGCCATTGTTCTTCTCCAATGTTCTCTCCTTCGGTTTTAACAGAAGACTCCTTAGACAGGCGGCTGGAATGTGGGTGACTTGGATTCCATATGACCTGAGCAGTTTGGCTGTCATTTCCAAAACGTCCTCGATGTATGGCTCTTGTATAGCTCTTGTTCCCGATTCACCATCTGTTGTTTCTTTCTTTTTTGAGTCAGAGATCTTTTGATGAAGTTGCGGGTGTTGCCATTACGAGCAAACACTCTGAGGAGGTATCTTTCTTTTGTTTTCTTAAGTATGTCGGTGATACAGTGCGTTTGGATTCTTCCGAACAGGGTTCTAACACAGCATCCTTTGACTGTATGGATGATTACTTTTGAACTTCAGAATTTGTTCTGTATGTGTTGCTTTGCTGTGTTGTCTCCAGTTTTTTGATGGCGTTCTGATGATTAAGATGTCCAAAAAGGTCAGTTGTTTATCCTTATCTGTCCCAATGTAAACTGAAAACCACTGAATATGTTGTTGATGATGGGTGTTCTTTCTAGTTCTGACTTCTTGAAGATAATGAGCGTGTCATTAACGTATCGAATCCAAAGTTTTGGCATGATTCTTGGTACCTCCTTCTCCAGCTTTTGCATTACGGCTTCGGCTGACTGTCTGACTGATTGACGTTGATGAACTCATTCGGGAAATTATTCAATCAGTTGCACCCAGCGCTATATTCATCTTTTCCGTTACCCATAATAAATTTGACCTTATTTCGTTGACGTTAGTTGTGATGATGTAAGTCGAACGTTCGGGTGCTTAAAATCGTGTTCCATATACACTATTGTTTATAATATGAACTGTAGCGGGTAGCGGGAACGAAGTCAATATGCGCATATCAAATGTCAAAAAACTCCAAATCCACTGGGGAGAAAGTGATTAGGTTAGTAATCGCAGCGAGGGCCCAGTTGAAGTCTCACAATGCACTCTGGATATAGCTGTTGTATGTAAGATGATTGTTATAGAATAGTTGCATTCAAGGCAATTTCAGATCAAAATCAGGCTGACGTTTTGTTACAGTTCTTTGTTTTCAAAGGTAAATTCGTCGTGTAGACAGCAAATGAAGCATGAACTCAAAAGCTAGGAAGCACTGGACAGCTGTTTTGACCTGGTTGGATCTCATCAGCAGTGCAAATCCATCGACCCAACTGGGTGAAAACAGTTTGCACAGATAATCCACGTAACCTATTCAAACCATCCAGCATCTAGTCAACTTCTGGGCCCATAATGGGCATGGGATTTGTCCGCTAAATGTGAACTCATGACGGTTTTATTTTTGTAATCGCTTGAAATGGATACCTCTACAGAATGATCCTATCAGATTGCTTCCCACAAGCCGGTTCAATGAAGTTCTTCACCGGGATTTATGGCGAATCGTCCCTTGATGAGAGTTGGAAACAGTTAGGAAACACTCTACGCTCGCTTATACCCCGTCAGACATGCGGGCAATGAGAAACAAATCAGTTGTGCGTTTAAATCAAAGCTCATGGACATGCACATGCAATGTTTACCAGTCAATAGTTAAATGCATTCAACGTTGGATAAAGTCATGCATGATGCTCTGTTAACATGCTCTCAAGCTCCATGACATCAAGATTGCGGTGCAAACCAATCACGGATTGATCTAGAATTGCGGCGGTGGGGGGGGGGGGGNCTTTCAGTCGCTCATAATTTGCCCAGTTGATTAAACTTAGAGAGCAGTAAAACTAACCGGACACTTCCATTTAATGTTCAGCAACATTCCTTATGAAAGCTATCGAGTTCAGAAGGGTCGAAGGCGTGTCAAAATGACTTGTTGAATAGACCAACGATCTTTTTCGCCTCACTGAGTACTTCCTAGGGTCGCTTAACCAAACATCTCAAAGGATTTCGTATCACTTTATAGGTATTCTGAATAATGTACCTCATGACGACAATCAAACAATCGTCTTGTATGGCACACATTTTTTATTACACATGAAGTGATTTACAGCAAAAGGGGTAAACCCCATAATCAATGATGTACTGTGAGAGTGAGGTATGTGGAAGAACATTCAAGTAAGAATCAAGTTGTTAATTCTGCTTTTGAAAAGGGTAAGGTTATAAGAGGTTCGAAACACGGAAATGGGAAGGGTGTTCCACAATTTCGCAGTCTTCGGGAAAAAAGAAGATTGGAAGATAGAATTCCGGCATCTGAGGACAGAAACCTGATGCGGATGGCTGATCGGCTGAGAACGAGATTGACGAGAAAAATTTAATGGAAGGAGAACCGGTGATCAGACGAGAACCGGTGTTTTCAACGTTGTATGGTCGCGGCCAAACTAAGTAACTAGTCAAAGTAAAAGGATGAAATTATATTTGTGTAGCAATACTTTAATATGTCAGGTGCGTGCTAAGGTGGAAGTCTTATTCACACTTGAACACATCCATACATGTTCCCCATGAATAAAAGCCCATACCTTGTACGAAAAACGTGCAAACGCACAACCAGTGCGGCCAATCAGCTGATCGTCAGTCGTTAACCCAAACACTGAGTGCCAAGTTAAAATTGTTAAACAGCGTTTGCATTTATTGTACAAAGTCAAAGTGATTGTGTTCCGCACATCGTGTTCTTGTGAAATATCTCACTACACACAAAATCTCGTTCACATTAAACTATGTCGTATACACACAGTCCTACTCTTTGCCTCAAATTCACCAAAAGTAACCCTCTAATTTTTACAACAGGACTATTCAGTTTAGCGTTTTTCACAAAAAACCTCAATTGGGCCGGAATGCACCTGTTTCGCACAATGTAGATGAAAACATTCATTATGCAAATTTGTGGTCAAACAGCATAGATAACACAGTTGAACACCTGACCGATAGTGCAGTACTATGATGTAATGTATCACTCAACGGGTGAAATCATCGTCTAGAACATGACAGTATACTGCTAGTCATGTTGTTAGGGAAGAAAAAGTGAACCGTAATTAAAAGCACTGATCATTTTTACCTTCCCGAAAGTGAATCAAATCGCTTGGGATGTGGTAGCATCACCCAATTATCACCCCGGAGGAAGAGTATTCGAATCCCACTACAACCGCCTGACT